CTGTCCCTTCCTGACATTTGGTGAGCTGTTTGGGCTGGGTCTCCAACATCTTCCTTCTTGGCCTTCTCAACTCAGAGGCTCAAAGATTCAAGGGAGTTGCTGTAGAGATCTCAAGAAAGGACACTCCTTTCTTTTTTAAGCCATGAATAAAGTGCTTGGAAAAGCAAGAGGGAGAAAAGGAACCGAACCTTCTGGTTCTGAGATATATCAACAAGATAATACTTAGAGGTGATAAATTTTTGTAGGAAACCAATGTCATCACTTTTCTTTATCGCACACAGGTTATATAATGCTTCGCTGTGAATGTTTTCAGACATTAATTCCTTCATATATTAATTCCTGCCCTGCAGGCCGTTTTCTGTGGCTGCTGTAACAAATTACTGTGCACCTGGTTGCTTAAAACAGAAACTTATCCTCTCATACTTCCGGAAGCCACAAATGCAAAGTCAGTTTCACCGGACCAAAGTCAAGGTATCAGCAAGGCCATGCTCCCTCCAGGGGCAACAGGGGAGTATCTGTTCCTTGCCTCTTCCACCTTCTGGTGGCTGCAGCACTCCCTGGCTTACAGCCACATCACTCCAGTCTCCAAGTCTCTCTGCTGAGTCTTCACACTGCCTTGTCTTCTCACATGTGTAACCTTCCTCTGTTTTTCTAAGGACACTTGTGATAGCATTTAGGGACCACTCTGATAATCCGGGATCATCTTCTCATCCTTCACTTAATCACACCTGCAGAAACCTTTTCCCAAAGAATGTTACATTTACAGGTTCCAAAATCAGGACCTCATATCTTTGGGGGCCATTATCAGTCTTACACTGGGTAAGGCAGTGCAAATTATACCCATTTAGCAGAGGAAGAATCTGAAGCTCGAGTCAAATGAAATGACTTGCCTGAGGTAAAGTACAAGAGGATATTCTGCCATATGCACCAGTTGCCAAAATAACAAAAGCCTTCTGGACTGGTGGGTAAACAATGCTGTGGAGCCTGGGAGTGGTACCAGGTAGATGCAAGGGTGGGCTGGAGGCAGTGAAGCGGGTGGTGGTGCTGCTGGAAGTGTTGTCACTGGGGCAAGGAAGAATCCCCTGGTCAGCCTAACTAGGAAGCTGGCATCCAGGTACGTACCCAGTTGAGATGTACCCAGCCTGCTGCAGCAAAGCACTGGTTTCTGGGTCTGAAAGACTATGACTTACTGGGGAAGGCACTGCAAGAGCATGATGAGTTTCCCTGAGGTCAAGTCCTGGCTCAGACAGGGACATCACACAGCTACTGATGACCACACTGAACAAAAGATCATACCAACAATCTCTAAAGGCCAAAAAATTATTGGGAACTTATTGGAATAACTTAACAAATGATTTGTACCATAATCTATATTCTTTGGAAGGAAGTTTTATGATAGACTCGATATAATTTATTTTATTTAGATAATACATTTTAAAAGTTTTGATTCACATATTAATTATGATTACTGGACCAGTTTAAGTTTTTTTTAAAAAAACATTTAACATCACCCCTAAGCGACAGAGCTCTTAGGCAGGTGTAGTTAGAGCAGGGGATGTTCAGAAGAGGAAACACTTACTGACTGTGTATTTCTCCTAATGCCCTGATGATTTCCCTGCCTCTCGTGGCTACATTCAGGTAGTTGGATGTTCTCTGTGAGGTCTTTTAGTTCTTTGCCTGTTCGCATCATTCTGGAGTCCACTATACATTGAAGTCCTGTCTCTACCTCTCAAAAGAAGCTAATGATAAGGCAAAGAGCTATTGTGAACTGAAGAACCACAGGTTACAGAACAGCACAGCAGAACAGCAGTGCATCAAAGAGGCTGGCCAGCAGCTCAGGCTCTAGTGGCCAGCAGACCTAGGCTTGAACCACGCTCTGCCGTAACCCAGCTTTGTGATAGTGGTCAAGTTAGTTAGCCCCCAAGCTTCAGTTTCTCCCTTTGTACAATGGTGATAAGACTTCTCTCAAAGAGCTGTCATGTAGGTAAAATGAGAAAACACATACGAAGTGCACCGAAATGTTCCCAGTGGTTATTTCTGAGTTGTATAAGTTTCACTGTCATCTTTCAGCTTTTCTATATTCTTTATGTTCACTGAGCATATACATTTAAAAAAATAATAATAAAGCTGACTTAAGAACAAAACAAAACAAAACAAAACAAAACAAGGAAGTAAATGCAGGGTGTAAACTGTATTCATTAGAGTTACTTGATGAAGCTGTGACCAACTCAGGAAATGGCTCTGATCTACTGACCTTTTCTACTTATTAAGAACAGCTACCACTCCTCTAAGCCCAGCGCTTTACAGACATAGGTTCATCTCACTGTTATAATAACACATTAAGGCAGGTATTATTGAAATTCCCATTCTACAGATAAGTAGTAAACCAAGGCACAGGAAAGTGAGGCAATTTGTCCATGGCCACACAGCCAGGATTTGAACCAGCCTGGGGATTCCAGGGCCTGCTCTCCGAGCCGCTCACTCTCCCTGTGCTGATCCAGCTCTGGGATTGAGGCATGCCCTCACGCTATCCCTTCACTGCCACATTCAGCAAGGGAGCAGAGACCCTGCTCTTGGGTGATTTCCTCTGGCAGTAATTTGCTACTGGTGTAAATAAGTGGGGACTACCTAGCCTGATAACTGAAGAGGCTACAACTTGGACAGACCATGGAAGCATTGTCCCTGATGATGAGAAAGAGCGAGCTTGGCAGAATGCTATCTCCTAGGGCAGGTGTCCCAGATAATTTGTCTCATTCATTAAGGGCTTCACTGGCTTCTCTGGGTACTGCTGGCAACTGGTGACAGCCCAGGGAAGCAAGATGAGCCCTGGACTTGGAGCAGGGACCTAATTTCCACTTCCAGCTCTGCCACCAACCAATCAAGCGGCTTAAGGAATGCCATGTCTTCTTTTGGGACTGTGAAACGAGCGTTTCCAGGCCTTACATTTGGTGAGTGTCTTAATTCCACACAAAAAAGTTCACAGTTAAAAATGTCATCCAGGAGCATTAAAAATAAAATCCCACTTTCTGTGATAAAAGGCTTAAGTTCCATCTTATCCCTCCTCTGGCCCCTTAACTCTGATATTTTTATTCCCCTCAAAATAACCTTTTCAAAAGGCACCTGCAAACTACTGCTTTGGCCTTTCTGAGGAGAGGATGCTTTTATGCTCTGCAGGGAGTCACCATTAGCACTTGGGAAGAGACATGCTGTATGCATTATGGCAGATTTAAGACAGGCCCCTGGGAAGGCCAGATGCCACAGAAAAGCCACAGAGCTGTCTGATCAAGGAACACTGGACAGACGTTCTGAGACTCCATGCCTCCCATAGACCCTTGGCCAGGGGAAGGGTCTGTGATGCCCCAGGCAGCTCTTCCTAACTTTCTGATGATCGCTGACATGAATCAAAAGACCTTCATAGGTTCACTTGGATACTTTAACCAAGAACCAAGAAGAAAAAAGCTGACTTTTACAAATACATAACTGTGTAAAATTATGCAGGACTAAATCTATCTGAGCTACTTTCCATCCTCTATTTCAGACAGGCTCTGTGATCTCAACAGAATGGAGGCAATGTATTCTCATAAGGCTGAGGGGAATGGGAAGGGATGGAATCTCAGGGCAGATACACCTTTGTGGACAATAGAAAAAGGCAAGGAAGCAGTCAGGAAAAGAACACTGTGATCACCCAATCCAGGAACAGTAAACAGTTTCCATTTCTGGTGTCATCTCTAATTGATTGATTGGTAAGCAGTTTCTTGGGCTGCTTGTGTTGAGAAGAACTCTGAGGCTGTTGCTGAGCCCAGTTGGAAGAAGTGCTATACTAGATTCCCAGGGCTGCTGTCACATATTACCACAAACTGGGTAGCTTAAAATGACAGAAATTTGGGCCTGCCCTGTGGCGCACTCGGGAGAGTGTGGCGCTTGGGCATGCAGTGGCGCTCCCGCCACGGGTTCGGATCCTATATGGGGATGGCCGGGGCGCTCACTGGCTGAGCGCGGTGCGGGCGACCCCAAGCCAAGGGTTGCGATCCCCTTACCAGTCACAAAAAAAAAAAAACCCAGAAATTTATTCTCCTTCAATTCTGAACACCAAAAGCCTGAAAAATCAAGGTGTCAGCAGGGCCATCCTCCTGCCAAAGGCTCTAGGAGAGAATCCTTCCATGCCTCTTCCAGCTTCTGGTGGCTTCTGGTGTTCCCTGGTTTATGGCAGCATCCCTCCAATCTCCGCCTGTCTTCACATGGCCTCTTCCCTTTGTGTCTGTGTGTAAATATCCCTTTCCTTTCTCTTATAAAGATACCAGACACTGGATTTAGGGTTCATCCTAAATTCAGAATGATTTCATCTTGAGACACTTAACTAATTACATCTACAAAGACTCCGTCTAAATAAGATCACATTCTGAGTTTCTGGGTGGACATGTATTTTAGGGGTACACTATTGGACCTAGTACAAGTGCCATGGTAGCTTCACAAGTTTGACACGGGTTCAGGACTGGGCAGGGTAGTACACATGTCTTCTATCTGCCATCCTGATCCAGCCCAAACCCATAGTTTTACAGATGATAAAACTGAGGGTCAGATAATAAAAGGTTCTTGATCAGTGCCATATAACTAGGTAATGCCACAGAAGACAAAAATAAAGAAAGCATAGACATAGAGGTGGGGTAGGAGTTGGGGATGGAGTAGTGGGTATGGGAGGAAACGAGGATGAATATTACTGTTTTAGTTGTGGAATAACTGAGAAGGGCATCTTTGCATTTGAAACCATTGCCCAAAGAGAATCTAGATGGAGCAAGAAAATGATAACTAGACAATAAGAGAAAATGTAGGAATGTCACAAGGATTAGTACCATCCTGGGGATCAGTTTGAGGGGGATTATTTGCCTTTTTTTTTTTTTTTTTGGCTAAAGGAATGAGAGCTACTGCCACTGGGCAAAAACCTTTCCACACTGATCCCTGAAAGTATCGTGCGTAGAGATGTCTGCTGGTTGCCATGGTGAATGATGCTGATCTGCAGAAGTGAATAATGTGAGTGTTGGGGGCGACAGTGCGATTACTCAGTGTTGAGAGAGACATCACGCAGAGCCTGGCGCGGAGGAGGGAGAAGGCATCATTCTTTCAGCTTTGGTCCACTCTGCCTCGGAGGGCAGAACTCTAAACAGATACACTGCCAGCATCAGGTAAGAGACATAAATGGCTCTTCTTGGAAATGGAAATGGCTGTTCTTTTCACACTCTGCTTAGAGAAGGGCCAGGCAAT